GTAATTGAGCATATGCGAAGAAAAAACGGGATGTGATGATGGTGAGGGGGGCAGGAGTCAATGCGAATAATTTTGGCGAAGTCTGTTAGACGGAGGAGGAGGGAGATGGCGCAGTACGTAAACCGTATCGAAACTGGGATTCACATGAATACGGTCTTCTGTGCACCATGCATCACAATAAGGACATGGGCGAAAACCACCAATGTCATCGGATGGTGTAACATGAAACAATCATCTGGGCTCAGTGTAACTCTGCCGAAGAGTAACAGTGCGATACAACATCGAAAGATGATGACAGAATGACATGCGATAGGCAAGGTGACTAGAATAGACCAGATCAGAGTAGCTAAGACACTGATGAGGAATCAGACGAGAACGAAACAATCACACAGCACACCATGCGAGGAAGAGGGGGGGGGGACGCATGAATTCGTGTTGACATCGTGCACACATCGATGGCATGCCCGATAGATTGAGCGACAAAAAACGAACCCAAAATTGAAATAGTAGAAAGGGTAACGAAAGACCGTGTTGCTGAATTATGTAACGAAGAAAGCAGTTCTGTGGAATAGGTGGAGAAACCAGAGACCAAACAACAGCTGTAACGCAACTGACGGACCGGAAGTGTCCGTTTTTGATCTGGTTGACAGGTTGTGATGCATCAAAAGCTATGTACGATTCATTCAAATGTCAAGAAGCGACGGAGAAGTGACTGGAGGAGAGCTCACGCAAAGATTAACGGTGCGAGGGATAGGAACCGGGGAATGATTAAGCAAGAGGTGAGTCTTGAAGAAAAGTTGATATCTCTCAGTCAAATTGGTAACCGAAATCCCAAAGATGTGTATGACCGCTTAGGTGTTACAGATAGAACCATTTAGAAGTAACTGGTAGGACAATGAACACTGGAGTAAAATGGTGAACCATATACAGGAATGAAATTCTGCATATGGTATACGAAATGTGAAGACGGAGGAATAAAAGACATCACCCAATCAGGGGGAAGGGAGTAAATGAATGTGCTCATAAAGGAATGAACGGATTGATGAATGAAAATAATCTGCGCACCCGACGGCCAACGCATATACGAATACTGAGGAGTGAGCTGGATGGTCGGTTACTGCAGCAAAATCACCCATCAGGGAGGGGGATGAAAAGAACGAAAAAGGAACAGATAGGTATAGAAACGAACACAAGGAGGAGAAATGCCGCGTTGCTTGGATAATGCTGTTGTCCGACAACGAGGTTAAGAGACAATGGAGTCGATCACGTGTGATACAGAGGGCCAGAACCATGTGAGTGAGTCGAGAGAGAAGACAGTTCCGCCCACACCATCGCCGGATAAGAGCAGATGGCAAATGGGAATAACGGAAAGGAGGTCCAAAACAACACCATAAAGATGCAGGAACCTCATCGACCACGCCATTAGGCACTCACTCTTGCACCGGGATGGGGAACCACAGGGCGAGGTGGGTCGTGAGTGTAGCAGCTTTTGAAAGCCCAGAATGCGATTCACTTTGAAAGCGTGTCACTATGGACTATTCACAAAAGTACTACAACCACCATGATGATTTCGATGATGATGATAATTCTCCAGGATTGACTGGGCAAAACACAATGTTCGATCACTTGATCTGATCCGACTTCAAAAAATTGTCGAAATGAACGTTATGCAACAAGTCCCATTTCATTTTGGGATACTGACTAAAGCAATTTCGGGTTCCGTTTGTGTTGCATGCAAATGTCTTTATAAGCATGATCGAACTGACGACGGTGACCGAAACCGATTCGCTTTTCAAGCCCCAGCTGACGTCAGCAAGTAACGGTCTACCGCATGCACTATTTCTGCGGCCAAAGTGCGGATCAGACGTGCACATTCCAATTGACAACTATCTGGACCAGCGGAAGCGGAAAGTCCGGCAGCTGTCTGTCCGACCGGTTCCACATGATCTAGTGCACCAGGACCGGTGGCTGAATTTCCACTAACACTTGCACTTGACAATCGCCGGGGTATATAGTCTGATTCTACTACTGCTCCACTTAGGCTGTCCCCTGCACAACCAGGATTCAAATGAGTTCCAGCAGACGGTGGATCCAGGCAGCTAGCAGTGTCGATTGCGTCTTGCCAAATGGGCGATTCAGCGGAAGAAGAGTGATGACCAGGGAAACTAGAAGTACCAGTTTTTTCATCAGTAATCATGGGCTCGTCCGTCGAGTTATCTGGTCTGGAGTGGCAAGACAGGCGAGGGACACTATTCGCGCACAAAACAGTCTCGTCTACCGACACCACATACCGGAGGAAATCCAATAAACGGCGACAATCACACAGGGCTGGTACATAGCGCACCTCTGAAAGTAAAGCCAATACGGAGATGTGATTAGTGAAATACTTGTAGACAAAAACGATGAGCCATGAAACCAAAACGACTAAAATTACATTATTATGATTTATGATACATAGAAGGTCTTCTGCCCTAAGCTAGGGAATTTTATTTAAAGAGAAGTATATGTATATATCGTAGAATGAAATTAGATTTTACTCTGGTTCAATGGACATTGTTTGCGACATCAGACAAACCAGATTCGTGAGAATGCAGGCGCTAGGAAGGACGTACCCTTGCGACCTGATCAGAGATGATTTCGACCAGATAGTTTCTTATCTGTTTATTCTTTAAGCACGACTTTATTGGAGACTTCACACAGTATGAACTAATCGGCGTGGTGGGAACTTCAATTTAAAAAACTATCAAAACTCAGGTGTTCGCCGCGCCGCTAGTAATGGCGAATGTACTAATCTATCTGAAAAAATGTTTCAAAAGTCACAATACTAGCATATCATATCTTAAGATGGCTTTTACACCCAAACTCAAGATCAGAATGTTAAAGCAGAATTGAATGTGCTGTGACACAGCCAACACCACCTTAAACTGTTTCAGTTGGAAGTACCCGGCGCTTAAACGTTCATCGTTTTGACCATGCTACCATCATGTCAAACAAATGTTTAGCTTAAACAAGCCATTAATCAGTTGATTTTTTTACCTCAATGGCGGAGGTTAGGAATAGTTCAGTGTTAACTTTTTCGAAGTGTTTCTACTGGCATAAAAGTGAACATGTACTAGTGACTAATAAAAACCCATGCCAGTTTTCATCAACTCAAATACAATTTTTGCAAATTCACCCATGTGTGTGGACGTAAATATCTCGATAAAAACTACAGTGACACGGGGTACACGCTCCACTGAACACACTTAACGATAATACGGGTTAAATTACATCAGAGTTGCTACAGATCGGCGATGACCAAACACCATGGCGAGACCAGTCACATAGTCAGTCCGATTGCCACGTTTTCGGTCGGTCATATCATTAGATCAGACCGCCGAAGTAGTGAAAATTAAAATGTCTAACCCAAGTCTGGCATAAGAGAAAAGTTTGTGACTGACCTAACCAGATGACGTTCAACTACAGTCCAGTCAATTCGAAAGTTGAAACAACGTATAACGCCGCCTCACTTATAATACAACACGAAACGAATGCTCATTGAATCCAATCTAGGCAAACCCGATTCTTCAGTTACCTCCTCCTGTGTTTACCTATTTCAATGTATTTGCGGTGGCACGTACGTCAGAAGAAGTGAGAGACCACTGTCTACCAGGATAGCAAGGCATGCACTGAAAAATTTGGCGTCTAACGGGTTCCCGCAACCGTCCAGTTCAATCTCCCGACATATACTGGATTGCAAGGAATGCGACAAACTAGGGGCGCCTTTCGTGTCTTGATCGGCCAGAAA